CTGCAAGTTCCGAACTTCTTCTGCTCTGCTGGTTCGAACCCTGCTTGAACTTTTTTTTTTTATTTTTTCAATCATACTTTAATCGTACACTAAATATGACATTATATTTTTGTCTGACCTTCGAATATTTTTTTTTAAAGTTAAATTTAACCGATTACATTTAACATATGTTATTTTCAATGTACGAAGTACATGAATCTGGATGGTACTTTTCACAAAAACAGTCAAAACATAAAAATTTCAAGCACCACGTACATTTACTGAAAGTTTTGTTTTCACAGAAATTACAAAATTTTGTATTTAACTCTGATGGAAAGGCCGCTTCATTTACATTGATAAAATGTGAACGATTTTCGGATAGTCGTACCTTGTAGCTCGTACTTTTTACCTTATACTTCAGGTAAAAAGGGATATAGCTGGGAAAAACAGTTTTATGACATTACCTGCTAACTTATGTTACTGTTCTACAATGAAACGCTATGTTTTGTACCTTTAAAAATATTCGACTATGTGCTTTTAAAATTTAAGATACAACCCATACTTTGTATTAAACTGGCAAACGGGATCACTTTTCCTTTGTTTCTAGTTAGTTCTATTTAGTTCGTCATAACCAATTGATACGGTTATTTCAAAACAATCGAGGAAAATCATTATTAATTAATTTCTGCAATTATTAATTCTACTGTTTTGTTTATGTTATAAAAGTAAGAACTCTTCTTATTGAAAAATATCACAGCGTGCACAATACTGGTAAAGAGTGGAATCTCATTTTAATTTATTAATTTTCAATCTTAAAGTATTTTGATTTTCAAAAATCGTATTAATAATATACATATGTGTGCTCATACATGGGAATAAAAAAAAATGTCTTTTTTTTCAATAATTAAAATATGATCAGGAGGTCTTAAAACGTGTATTTCCGTAAAATAAATTTTACAAAATTTTTTTTTCATTATGGGTACTTTGCTTATGTGCGCCTACATAGGTCGGAAAGTAAAAATGCCTGGCCAGTCAAGAATCCAAATCGTATGCCGTTGACGGGAGGTCGGATTTCAGTTGTTTAGAGCGAGAAGGCAAATGTGAGCCTTGCTCTCTCGACTCCCACGAGGCGATCCGAAATTACTTCGGGCAGCTTCGGAGAATCGAGAAAGAGGGCATGCGTCAGTTTGCCTTTGTCGACTTTCCGAAACTCCACGAGCTCACGTACGCGTATCTGGCATGTGTGCGTGTGCACCCGGCGGTGCTTTTCTGGCATCTCTGCTGGGATTTCAACCAAATTTGGCAGAGTTGTTGGGGCTGATGTCCAAACGCATTCTGTAAAATACTAGACGTTTATGGCCAGCCATTTTGTTAAAAAATGGCCTTAAAGTTTAAAATGTCGAAGTTGTCGGATCGACGTTTTTTTTTTTTAAATTGTAGGTCTCGAAGAGGGGAACACAAAAGTCCAATACATTTTTGCCGTAACATCAATAGTTTAAACAAAAATTTGAGTTTTTGTGACGGGATAAATGCATATGTACCATGTAGTTGGAGCGTATTTTCAGCAGTCATGGTAGCCGTAGAGTTAGTGTCGAGGAATTCGGGTCGGAAGAATGGGGTTCGTGTCCCCGGAACTAGAACATTTTGTTTTTTTTCTTTTCTTCGCTTATTTTTGAATTTTTATTTATTTTTAATTTTAATTTTTAATATCATGGAAAAAGATGGCTGTTACAAATAAATAAAATACTATTATGGTTATAAATGTTTATTTTCACACATACTTACAAACATATTCTCATATATATTTACATCTCACGTATAAATAAATACAAAAATTAGATATTTATTTCATACGGGTTTCGCAATGCATTGTATGATTTTTATCATAAAAACAGGAAAAACATAATGGTTTCATACACCAAGCGCATGTTATAAATGCTTGTTCTGTACAGCATTTTTTATTTCTTAGGTCATGTGGAAAACATACTTGATTCACGTTACAAAAGATTTCTTTTTTATGATTCGGAGGGGTGAGTTTAGACGCATACCATGCATATTTAATCATGTCGGTAAAAATTGGAGCAGATAATTGATAATGGATTATGGAATGTAATTTTATTATATCCTGTCTATTGGTTAATTCTCTGTTTTCGTGGATTAATGTTAGGGCGTTTTGGAGTCTTGAAAGAAAGTTCTTAACCTGTCTAAAAAAATACACGTCACACGGTTGGCAAATGGGTGTACATTTTGGTGGTACAGTATTGTCTCTATAGAAGCGACGCTCTCGGGGCTCAACGCTCGGCTATATCGTGGACGAGAAACGATTCTTGATACTTTGTTGACGCCTACTGGAGGCGGCGAGTATAGAAAAGAACAGCGAGCATATGACAAAGAGGGACTGAGCGGCCGAGCATCGCCGAATTTGCTATCGCTTCCTTCGCTTCGGGTCGGCTGTAATGAAACACAGGCGATGTTTATGCGAGCCTATACGAAATCGGTGTTCTAATTCTGACCTCTACCTCTCTTGGTAGAGGTCGCAGAATGAAATACTGATTCTGTATAGGCTCGCGTAAACATCGCCTGTGTTTCGATACAGCCGACGTGGAGCCACTTGAGCGATGCATGCCTTTGATTTCTTATTGCATTAGTAAATAGGACCTAAATTGTATATCGTATTTGGTGTCATTTTAATTAGAAAAGTGTCACGAATATGTTGATGAAGTTCGAAAAAAGGAAGAACAAAAATAAAGATAAATTTCGTTGTTGATTTAATATTGTATATGTACTAGTTAAATCGTGTCATAACTAAAGTACATATATGTATGTATCGCTCATTTACTGCAATAGTGATACGACTCAAAAAGATACAAACTTGCGAATTTGAACTGTTTAACCAACTTATTTTACTCTGAGTTCTCTTACGATTTCAGCAAATAAATGATAGGTCAATTAAATTACAATTCCTTTTTTCAGACGAGGATACACTTTAAAGAAAGGACAAATGTATATTATAATTTATGAAAAACAATAATAAAAATTATGTTGTACTTGATCTTAGTTAAATCAGAAAACTGTCACAGACATGTTAAAAGTTTTAAAACAAGAAAAGGAAAAATAAAAAATTTGACAATGCTCGACGACCGACCGTCAAACGGGCCGCTATCCTGGGGAACCGCCCATAGGAAGGCACACTCGCCGGTTCAACGAGTGCTGGGTTCTAACGGTACGCAGTGGGGATAAGTAGAGGGGATACGATATTTGTCTATATCGTGGACGAGTTCTGAGCTTATATAGAGAAAATACTGTATCACTTTTAACGTGCAGGTAGCCATATTTTTATCTTCCGGATCATAAAAGATCCTGTCATATAATGCTGGATTTGTTTGTCCACCCCACGAATCGATGACTAATAAGAATTTATTTGCTTTTACGTAAGGTTTTAATATATTTTCCAAAAATAATTGATAGGTATCAGATTGCAATTTCCCTGACTTTGTGCAAGTGACATGTACATTGCCTAATTCCTCTTCTTGTTTTCGAACATCTACTGCTACCCGTGGTCCAAAAAATGCTGTACAGAACAAGCATTTATAACATGCGCTTGGTGTATGAAACCATTATGTTTTTCCTGTTTTTATGATAAAAATCATACAATGCATTGCGAAACCCGTATGAAATAAATATCTAATTTTTGTATTTATTTATACGTGAGATGTAAATATATATGAGAATATGTTTGTAAGTATGTGTGAAAATAAACATTTATAACCATAATAGTATTTTATTTATTTGTAACAGCCATCTTTTTCCATGATATTAAAAATTAAAATTAAAAATAAATAAAAATTCAAAAATAAGCGAAGAAAAGAAAAAAAACAAAATGTTCTAGTTCCGGGGACACGAACCCCATTCTTCCGACCCGAATTCCTCGACACTAACTCTACGGCTACCATGACTGCTGAAAATACGCTCCAACTACACGGTACATATGCATTTATCCCGTCACAAAAACTCAAATTTTTGTTTAAACTATTGATGTTACGGCAAAAATGTATTGGACTTTTGTGTTCCCCTCTTCGAGACCTACAATTTAAAAAAAAAAAACGTCGATCCGACAACTTCGACATTTTAAACTTTAAGGCCATTTTTTAACAAAATGGCTGGCCATAAACGTCTAGTATTTTACAGAATGCGTTTGGACATCAGCCCCAACAACTCTGCCAAATTTGGTTGAAATCCCAGGTTGACAGGGTATGACCTCCCCTTGTTAGTAGTTTGATTTTTGCGCGTCTCACCGAGCAGAGCGGTTCAGCGCTCCACGGGCACCAACCCACCGTCGTTTTTCCCTAAACCGCGATCTCGGGACGTAACACTAGAATTTATTTAACATAATAATTTTAAATATAATGTTGGGACCAAACTTATATTACATGTTACCGAGGTCAAATAAATAAAAAAAGTTCATATAAACTTATATTCGAGAATGCTTTATTAAAAAGATATAAGGTTTTAAAGATATTTATGATTTATTATGACAAAATGATAAAAAATCTTCGAAAATTCCTCCCTATGCAAAAATGCAGGCTTCCATTCATTGAATTAGTGATTGTCGAACTCTTTCAAATATTCCATTTATATTCGAAATAATAATAAATATATTTTGAATACATTCCCAAAGTTGATCATCTGTTTCTATCGTATTTTTATAAACTCATTTGCATATAGTGTGTGATGAAATATCTCTTAGACACTAAAAAGACTGATAGTAAAGGTCTTAAGGCTGTAGGTCAAAACATGTAAACAATAATATTATTGATAATTTATAATATATATACGTTTCTGTACAACAAATTGTAAGAAGAATTTTTCCTATAAATCTTTGAACACTTATATTTTTTCAATAAAGCATTTTCGAACATTTCGCATGAACTTATACTGGTACGTGAAAACAAGTCTTAAGTATATAACCATGCCTTTACTTCTTTAGTTCTATGTTCTATCTTCTATGTAGGTAGGTACTTTATTGTGCAATTTACCCCATGTAGTAAACACGTTTACTTGAAAACTGCATATGTACATGCAACAATAACAGTTTTATATTGTTAATATAAGAAATAATATTTCTGAATAATTTAACAAAGATGAAGCAATGGATACACGAGAATCTATCTCGATTATTAACCTTTCCCGTTCCAGACAATATAACAGAGTAAGACAATTTGAATGTAATAAAAAAAATAAATTTATATCATTTGTCTTTTTACTTTTCAGATATATCATGGGAATACAAAATGAAAGGGACTTGGACGAGTATTTGCGATTTTTGTTGGATTGTAGTAATGTAAAACATAAGGAATTTATTACAGAATTAAAAAAACGTCAAGGTTTAGATTTTCTCATTTTGCTTAAATTGCCAAGGTATTTAATACTGTTTTACAATTTAATTATATTATTTTAGCATCAAACAAGGATCAAGGTGGATATAAAAAAATTAATGATACAGATAGTATACAAAGAAAACAGAATAATAAGAAGAAAGGCAAAATAAAAGGAAAAGAAAAACAGGAAAATAGACAGGTATATTAATATATTATTTTACTGTTTTTAATTAACCCTTTAACTACAAACAGCGTCCATAGGCATTCAGTTAATTAGTTGAGCATATTGCTCAAGGCATAAAAAAGTTTCCTATATACAGCTTGTGCTTGTGTTAAAATTGATTATAATCGAAGAGTTAAGAAATAATTAATTAGGCAATGTTGACTTAGTTACAGGAACATCCAAAGGTCGAGAAAATAGAAAAGAAAAAAACTAAATTTGTCAATCTATATTCGCAAGAAGGCAAAGACAGAACAACAATTTTATTGACAGGTAAATTACATATTTGAAAGTGACGATCATAAAGTTAAGAAGAAAATAATGTAGAAACATTTTATTAGGTAGACATAAATGTGACTGCGAAGCAAAAAGGCATTCATTGATTAATAATTGTCTCAACTGTGGAAGAATAGTTTGTATGCAAGAAGGAGCTGGCCCGTGCTTCTTCTGTGGAGAACTTGTGTGTTCTTCTAAAGATCAAACAATTCTTTCTAGCAAAACTAAACAAGCAGATCATTTATATAATAAATTAATGAATAAAAAGAAACCTGTTGAAGGTTTGGAAGAATCGTTAAAACAACGAGACAAGCTTCTTGAATATGATCGCAATAGGTATGTAATATATTTATATAGCAAATCTTGGATAACTGAAACATGGAACCAAAATCTTGCAGTTATAGAAACACGGTTAATTTTTAATTTTTGGAAAGGCACAAGCCAAGCTATAGTGTTCAGTTTTGTATCTTGCAGAACATAGAAAAGGACAGTGAATGATGGATAGGTAATAACACAATGTGAAACTTATTTTTTTATTAGTGGAACCTTTACCAATATATTTGTGAGGTTATATAATTTATATAATTTAACGAAGAACAATTAATATTAATAAGTAAATATTTTCCAAATTATATTGTGCTTAGTTTTATTTTGATCAGAAAAATCTCGAAAATATATAGATAAAAGTTCCATTTTAAAAAAGACAAAAGTAAACAAGCTTAATTTTGGCATTAGGTACTATTGTACATATTGTCTAATCGATATTTGAGTTTGTATCATGTTGCACTACACAGTCCATTTGACATTGAGCTTCGCGGCGTGACAAGGGTAGTCCATCTCACCAGCAAGAGATGACTACTGTTCACTTATCCAATTGACTCACAGTTATCCAAAATTTATAAGCTGTAATTTGTGAGATTTTGAGAAACAATAATAATTAATCATATTAATTTGCAGTACACAATGTACAAAAGTAATTGACGATGAATGTGATTATTATCAGACAAGTAATATCTGGTTAACAACCAAGCAAAGAGAAAAGTTACAACAATTACAGGAAGATATAAGCGAACGAAAGCATACATCACGTTTGAATAAAAGGGTGAATGTAACCTTTGATTTCACAGGTAGAGAAGTAATTCAAGAATATCCAGTCGATGATTTCAATGAATTTAATGAAGAACAGATTGAAGACATTCTTGAATCAGTGTCAGTCAGTGAACTTGAAAGAACCAATGTTTGCCCAGATATAGAATTTAGTCGCCCAATGGTGAGAATATTGCTGACATTATTATGTATCAGTATTAAGACTGTAATTAGTATTACAGAATCATTATTCTACAGTACATTGAATCAAATGAATGTGAACCAAGTACTAGAAAAGTGACGATTCCCTCTAAAATCAGAAATATTATTCAAGATAAAGAATATTTAGAAATGTCTGATGCAGGTTTATGTTTAAGCATGCATCAACCTTATGCATCTTTATTGGTTGCTGGAATAAAACTGTAAGACCCAGAATAATGTAATTTTTAAAATATATAGAACGATAATAAATAACTTTCAATATTCTATTGATGTTACAGTCATGAAGGTCGAACATGGTATACATCGCATAGAGGAAGATTATGGATCGCTTCAACTGCTAAACCAGCTACGACGGAAGAAATTTCGGAAGTAAAACACTTTTATCGTGTTTTAAAAGATGGTTAGGATAATAATAAATCTATGAACAGAAAAAATTAATTTCTTGTTTAGATATATACCTTACAATTATTTATTGTTAATAATATTTTTCAGAAAAAATCAACTTTCCTGACAATTATCCATCTGGATGTTTATTAGGTTGTGTAACGGTCACTGATGTTTTATCTCAAGAAGAATATAGAAAAGTTTATCCAAATGGAGAAAGTGACAGTCCATATGTTTTTATATGTGAAAATTGTTATTCATTACCAATTAAGTTCCCTATACAAGGAAAACATAAAATTTGTAAGTACCATCCCTAATATGCACTTACTACATTTATACCAATCTTGGAACAAGAATTTTTTCGAGTAATTTTGATTATTACTTACAGATAAGTTGGATCAAAAAATTCATCAAGCTGCTCTAAAGTTTTTAGAAAAAGTTACAAAACATACAAATAATTATAATGAAGCAGTTTTGAACACTTGAACACTAAAATGAAGTATTATTGTGTTATCTTCCAAAGCTATTATATTATTGTAATGCATATATTTTCCTGTGAGTAATAAATTTATTTTAATGTTGATTGTAATAATAATATTATCTGCAACAAAAAATTTTTTCAAAATTACAAAATAATAAAAGGTGCGTTTTCTTCATAATGTATATTAAATGTTATTTATTTGTACATAATAGAATATATTACAATGTACATATAGTTTGCGATATATTACAACAGCCATTATAAGAGTTAAATTTATATTACACTAAACATTTCTTTTTCTTATCCATTTATTTTTACGTGCAATCAATGAAAAAATATTAGCAGTTTTTTCTATTATGTTTAAAATATCAGACTTTCGTAAAAGTTAAAAGTAGATTTTAGTAAAGTTTTCTACATCAAAAAAGTCTATAAATTTGAAGTATAAAGGGAACAGTTTTCATTCAAATACAATATTATACATTTTATTGTTCTTATAAATTTTAAGTTTTATAGTTAAAAATGCTTTAAAAGCACAATAAAAATTTTATTCACAAGTCCATAATACAGTATAAATGATAAGGATTTAAAATTTTGATAAATAAATTAAAAATTTATACTTGGAGTTTTAAAATATATATGACTATCTATGATAATTTACACCATACTAAAAGTTTCAAAATTATAAAATTGACCATTTGCAATAAACTCAAGGAAGGAAAACCAAACTTTGTACGTATAAACTATTCAAAATATGAATATAAAATCATTGCATGCAATGAGATAACTCTCGATTGTAATAAATCGATCAATACATGAATACATAACTATGTACTGATCATAATATACATATACTTATACCGTTGCCTAAAGTAAACGTCTAAAGTAGAAATAAATTTCTCAAAACGTAATACAGATATTATTAAGTGATGAATCGATGCATTAGGAATGTATAAATAAATACCAAAGTATTTCATACGGCTTTTTGCATAGAATAAATAATTATTTGTTACAGTTTTTAAATCCAATATTTCAATTATATAAATATCAAGAGGATATTTAGATTCAAATGATACTTCCATTAATTCGAATACTGTGCAGTCTATCAATTATTATGTAATTTACATTTGTGATGTATACATACATAAGTATTGTATTTCTAAAATGATATTATCTAGATAACAACAAATTATTTAAATAATAAATATCCTTGAATTATATGTTTAAGACAACTTAATATTTTTACTCATATTCATATTCACAGTGTATATCAAATTTTAATTGGGGCATCTATGTGAAAATAATTACTTCACGACCAATGTCGTATAGACTAGTACTCGAAGATAAAAGTCATTGATTTGTTTCAATTGTTCTAGTAATTAATTTAAATAGAACACCATACAATTTTTAGTAATTATTTGTCAACCAATGAATCTTTTAATCAATTAATATCTTCTACTAATTTTTGTTGTAACATACTTTCAAAAATTGAAACATATTAATTAGTATTCAAATTAACAAACAAAGACAATTAAATAAAACCCTGTAAAATTCTTCAATTTCAGGAAAAACAAAAAAGCCATAAACATCTGTATAATGTTACGAAATACATATACGGTATACGATAACATCTTTTCTTCTAAATAACAATCCAACATGATTTTTTTTCTAAAATACAAGTTCTTATGAGTTCTTCATATGGATACAATACAGGCGTCGTAGAATAAATAGTTTTTATATAACTTTCAGTATTACAAACTATTTAGGCTATCAAATATAATCAATAATTCTTTATCCATTCATAATTTTTAGGTAAACACCCGAATATATTTAAATACTATATTGTCGAATCAAATCTACAAGTAAAGCCTGAACAAAATGCGAATTTAGTAATAATTTGATGCATTAAAATTGTATAATTATCTGTATGACTAATTTAATTAGATATTATATTCAATGAAAGATACTCAAGGAGTCAAATTTCTGTTTGATTTGATTCGACAAAAAATGGTATTCGCACATGCCCATTTTTACCCTTTTTCAAACAAGTAATAGGCCACCACAATACTAACACATCCATATCACAAATCTACTATACCCAAACAATTTTAAATAAATAATTTTATATCTTCATTATACATTTCAGACATTGTAAATTCGATTAATACAATACTCTTATCATTTTTTTTCTAGATAAAGTGATTGAGAAACTCTGTTACCATTTACATAAGCCACTAAATAGCATTATAAGTACTAACAGTTTTTCCAAACACCTTAGCATACATATTAGGACAGCACGAAGTATCCAGGCAATGTACTTACCATTTTTATTTATTTTATGTGGAATACGGTACGAGGATACTTATTTAAAATAATTTATCTAAATATAGGTAGGCGAATCTTTTAAACTGGCACCACAGACATCACAGATCGAAACATTCTTTTCATTTACTAGCGTACATTTTGGACACTCTTTTCCACCACTTGCTAATGGTTTATCCTCGTTACCTTTGTGCCTGGATTTCCCACACATTTCGCAGATTTCTCTCGATAAAGGATTAAGATACGTACAAGTAGCACAATTCCATTTATTTCCATCTCTTAATTCGTCCCCTTTTCTCGAGTGAGACAGCTCTAAATTTTTTAACGAATCTACAATTTTTGCAATTTGATCAGAGGATCGGTGAGAACGTTGAATGGGAAGTGTTTGACTACCGTGCTTTTTATCCTTATTGTGAGAGGATGAATGACCCTCGGGAGATGTATCGACACGATATCTGTTGGAATCCGTTAAATCGAAAGACGAGGACTTCTTTTTAAAAGGTAACGTATCATGATGATAGTGTCGACCGTTGGTCATAGACGAATCAATCTCATTCGCGTCGGTTCTTCCGTTTCTTCTTTTTTCAAAACGATACGTATTATATTTTTCATCGCTATCGCCTTGCTTTAATGATTTTTGTTTGCTCGTTCGAGAGTCGCATTCTCGTTTGTGCAAAATATCTTCTCGATCGCCAAGATCTTTCGAGTACCCCAGGCTTTCTAAATTTCTGTATACGAAATCCCAAGAATCGTAATCATTTCTGTCGGTAATTGATTTCGCAGACTTCGTGTCAACTTTCCCGTAATCGTAATGATCTCCGTCGCTGGATTGTTTCCTATAAAAATCTACTTCGTCCATGTCTGGTATTCGTGTTTTTCGATTATGCAGTTTATCATAATTCGCAACCGATACTGGCATATCGACCTCAATTAATCTGCCTGTTGGTACCCTCGTGTACGCCGGCATTGTAGTATAGAAAGGATTTGGGACACCGTTGAAATATTTGTTGCCATGTGGTAAACATCCATAGGCACTACATCGATTTACAAAGCCATGATCCATTGGTGGAAAATATCTATAGTTTCCGGGTATCGCGTTTGTGTCTTCAATGTATCTATAATCTGACTGACAAACTGGTAATGGCATATTATAATTGGAAGGCATTATGTGATAGGGAACTGACGGCGATGCTGTGTCTATGCACGTTGCTTGCGGATAGTGGTGGTCACTATAATTTTCTGATTTCGTGCGATTTTGATGCATCTTTTCAAGGAAACGATAATTCAATGCTCTGATTGCTTGCTCCGGTGTACCAACGTGATTTTCCCGAAATTCTAAAATCTCCAACCAAGAGACGATACAGTTCTGAGAAACACTCTCCCATATCTGCTTCAAAATCTGCATTTAAAACGAGAAATTCTTTATTTACGTTGCACTCAACGTAATTACGATATATTCATAGTTATTAACACATTCTTTGTAATGATCTTTTGATACTCATATTTTACAACACGGGTTAGTTATACTTTAGCAACATAAACTTTGCAATTAAAGTTTATAAAAATTATGGAGACATCCTCTTAGTATGTAACGAAGATTCAATGAGATATGACATGTACATAATGGTATACGATATAGAACATACATGAAATATATTAAATGACATTACCTGACATTCGACAAAGGCTACAATCGCATCCCTGCTAACACTGGATACTTTATCAGGATCAATAGGACCCTCTAAAGTGAGAATTCCTAACCCTGTATGTTTGTATCCCATTTGTTCAAACATTAATTCTGCTCCAATCAAATTTGCTTCCACTTCATGTTTGTAATATCCACTATAAGTCTAACATTACAAAAGAATAACTTAATTATACTGTTTCAAACGCTAAGAGAATTTTGCAAAAAATTATAAAAACATTAACCCTTAATGTTCTATATTCTTTCCTCCAAGGTTGAGCCAAAAGATTAGCAGCATATAAGGAAATAGCACTCCAGGCAGTTGTGGCTCTGTATCCACTAAAGTCTTGTAGTGTAGCTGCTGATCTATGCAATATATCTGCAGTTTCTTGAAATACATATTTGTTCTCGTTTGGTACAAGACAGAGGTATTCTTTAATGAAACCTAAAATATGTACAATTAAATGTATATACGTTGCATACTTTATAAACAATGAATCGTTTATGTGACAAAATCTACCTTCAAGTTTATGACGTTGTTGTAACTTCAATGGACTGTCATCTGTTTGTAAATAAACTAAATGACTTTGCTCTAATTTCATACTAATTTCTTGCAATCTGTCTTTACCTCTGATTGTTAAGTCATTAGCCATTTTTGTCACTGCAAAAACAAACACTTCTCGTCATTGTGCTTATTTTATTTTAAACATTTACTTACAACACAATTTAAATTATTTAACAAGAATAAAACACTCAAAGTAGGAATTTGATGTGCCAAATATAAGACACTAAAAGTTTAATGGATCAGTAACTTTGTTTAGAAATAACATAGGAGCAATATTAATAAATAGTAGGAACAAGGTAAAAGATGTCAGCTAGAAATAGATATCTTTCACACCTATTAGAAACCTCCTAGAAATGCAGCTTTAGATCAGATTCCTGATTCAAACTATGGCTAGCTCCAACCTAAAAATAAATCCTATATTTAGAAGCACCGCTACAGTGATTACTCCAGGAGCTACCATAATATGTTCTCTATTTGGAAGATGCTCCATCTTAAGTAAAAATGTCCATCGGGTTTTTGATTACGCTTTAAGAACATGTTACATCACTTCATAAACAGTAAATATTTTTCTCCGTAACTTTTTTCTTGGTTATGTTGTAGTTACGTCACAAGCATGAAACACGTAAGTATATCTAGAGACGCGGTAGCGTCTCGACGCCAAGTACATGAAAGACACCCTGTATACAAGATATCGATCGACTGTCGCTACCGCTATCCTTTACTCGTCGCCAGGCTATTCTGAAACTTATTTCAATAATATCTCATCACCCCTGCAATATTTTTTAAATTTAAAGGCATTTTTCTTATGTAAACCGCATATAAGCTTTCGAATAAGACCAATTCCAAAAAAATCGGTCCACGCATGCTAGAGATATCGTAATATCGTCTCATTGAAATTGTCAGAAATAGAGAAAATTTTTCTTCTTCAGTCGAAAATTTGTCGTCGTCGACATAATACGTATACACACACACCTATCAGTTTCGCACACATGTTTCGTTCGTCGACTCTCGGGATCATTGCGCTGTCGTCGACTCTTATAACGTACAATCATGCGTTAATGCGTCAACATTTGATCCAAATGTTTCGATCTAATCGACTGGAAGATTTTCCATGCATTCAGGATAAATAAATAATTAATACATGTGTATGAATACGAATTTGCAAATAATAGTACAATTAATCTTTGAAAAAAGAAGTGAGATCCCCTCAAAAACTTCAAAAAAGTAAAAAAATTACGCCAAGTACATCAAATCAAGTAAATCACAAAACATAGAAGATAATAATAATTACAAAATTCAAAAAAGATGTGAAATCAAAATGAGTTGCCAGTACATAAAGATGCTTTCCAACTACGCTTTAGATGACACAGCTACATATGCACAGCTAAAATTCCATTACCCATAATGGCTATTTATACAAAGAAAAAATGTATTAAATAATATTAAGCAGATATATTTTTATACAAATAAATATTTTAATACGAATAAATATTTTATTCAAAATACTTGGCGCTGCGCCCCGAATTGGTGTTGCTAAACTGAATAAACATGTATAAATTGGATCAATTTTTTTCGTTCTTGTGGGTGCGTTCGTAACTGTGTGTGTGCGTGTGCATATGCTACGTATTATATTAGAATTAAATATATGTAGAATAAATCTGACTGCGTTTCTAATATATGTATGTATATGTTTATGTATTTTAGATTGTAAGGGAGTAATTGTAAATTATTAATACTAATTGTAAGACAATTAACATTTTTTCGGTTTCGCAGCGCCAAGTATTTTGAATAAAATATTTATTCGTATTAAAATATTTATTTGTATAAAAATATATCTGCTTAATATTATTTAATACATTTTTTCTTTGTATAAATAGCCATTATGGGTAATGGAATTTTAGTTGTGCATATGTAGCTGTGTCATCTAAAGCGTAGTTGGAAAGCATCTTTATGTACTGGCAACTCATTTTGATTTCACATCTTTTTTTAATTTTGTAATTATTATTATCTTCTATGTTTTGTGATTTACTTGATTTGATGTACTTGGCGTAATTTTTTTACTTTTTTGAAGTTTTTGAGGGGATTACAGATCTACCTTAGACGTCAGAGATATATTTTAATCTTAAAGTTGTTACTTTTTCTACTGTTTATAAAATCAATTTGATCTTGTCATCATAATATCGAAAATAGTTTGTAAATTCATACTATTTTAATAATGTATACAAACACATGCGTACTGCATATAATTTGTATTTGTAAATAATTAAGGTACATTTGGTTTGAGTGCTTTGCAAGCATTTAAGCGCGCTTAAGCTTGAACTGTTTGAAGTTGTTCGGTTTGATTTTAAGCGCTCACGCTTGTTTATTATAGATTTATTGTTAATTTACACCAATTAAAATAAGCTTCCAAATAGCGGAATAGCACTGAAAACATCACATTTTACCAATTACAACAATTTTTTGAATTTCTGATACTCTCTTTAATGTTCACGACAATACCCATGAGCACAGCCGACTCTAGTACTTACTAGCCGTGCTATGGAACGTGGCAACACCGCTCATGTGCGGATCGGGAGTAGTGTGGCCAGATCTGACATAATTGAGTGCATCGAAATCGACAACAGTGACGACGAACTTCCTTAGCGTCTAACGGAATGGTGGGGATAGCAGGCATACGCTACCGCACGAGCCACGTGTACGTGAGCTCGGCACTTCGCACAACTTCGGCAAATCGATAAAGAACGCTAGTGTGAGCCTTTCCTTCTTGCTCTTGTAAAAGACAAAACAACTGAAATACGACCTCGCGATAATCGGCATACAATTCCAAGTCTCGACTGCCCCAGCATTTTTACTTTCCGACCTATATGTAAGGTATAAGGAAATTTATAAAGTATCATAATGAAAAAAAATTTTGAAATTTTTTTTTAGCGGAAATACACGTTTTGGGACCCCCTGATCATATTGTGACTATTGAAAAAAACGATATTTTTTTTTGTTCCTATGCTATTAACATGAATGCATTAAACGGCTGAATGAATTTCAATGAAACTTAACATTTAAGTTTTATGTTCTCGTTTTAAGGTCTCATTATATTTTAAGCGTGATCAGTTCCCATATAATGATGATTATACGTCTGTAGTTTTATAATTATTTCGATACATATACATCATTTGTAACAAATTTTTAAAGCGATTTATATAAATCTTAAGAAGGATTAAGATCAAATATACTTTTCTCCTATCTTTCCTAGACAGGAAAAATTAAACGAAATCTTATGCCTTGCATACCTACCTAAACCACATAAAAAACGTATTCCACAAATATTTTAGAATAATGTTGTTCAAAGCAGTCTTACTCGTAAAGGGTTAATTAAGGGTTAATTAAAATGAAAAACCACTCTTAGCCAGTACCGTGCACGCTACAGAAATAGATTACTACTGACTTTTCCCACTATGTTTTTTAATAACCGTATCAAATTGTTACACACAATCAAATGTTATATATTTGACTTAACTTTACATAACAAAATAATTGTAACGATAGGTAAAACAATAATGTGCACGCTACCGTTCAATGGAAACCACGGGAAGGTGGTGGTCACTTCCATCAGGAGGGAAATGTAAAAAATTGTTATTTCTTTGTAACATTATCACATGCCATATATTAGAACGTCTATATTCTTCTTTCCTTTTTTTTTGATTCCCCTCTAAATTCATTTCTGCAAAATGAAATATATTAAATTGACGTCTATATACTGCTATTCATTCAACAGAACTTTATTTCTTATTATTGCCTTTTAAAAACCTATGGGAACTGGGCTATACAGGGTGTTCGGCCACCTCTAGCAAAAATTTTAATGAGCGATAGTAGAGGCCAAAATAAGACGAAAATCAAGAATACTAATTTGTTGATGGAGGCTTCGTTGCAAAGTTATTAACATTTCAAGTTCCGCCTGTAGAATGACAACCCGCTAAACAGCTGCGTTCGTGCGGACGGTTGCGGCAGGCCAGTGCTAGTGGTTCTCACGCAGCATAAAAAATTCTGCTTACCGACATTATCGACAGCCTTAGATTTTTGTCCACTTATGGGAATGCGAACACCTTACGTTGAATAAGATTCAACCTGTCTTATGAAAATCCAGAAGGGCATATCAAAACTCGTCCGACGAGATTTTCACAGAGAAAGGGTGAATGCCAGTTCCAATACACAATGTTGTGAACAAAAATCACCCACATGCGATTATACACGCCCCACGATTGTCCACAGTGTCCACAAGTATCCACAAATAATCCTTTCAGGCACTAACCACTATGCAATTAAATAAACACGTACCGCGATTATGTTATTCGTGAATGTCTACGTGTACGTGTATCACGATTCTTCCGAGTTACTTACGAATAAAACTGTTATTAATTTTTCAAATACACTTCAATTTAAAAATGTAAAAAGGAATCGCAGGATAAATGAAATTTTCGCATCGATTTACGTTCACGGCGAAGAATGTAACAATACTAGCAGCTGACTGTGCCATCGATCGACGAGGTTCAGAGAAACATATGCCGAACAGGCCCCGATTCTACGTCACTCGCCTCGCTTATCTCTCTCACACACAGCGGAGACAAAGGGCAGCATCGGCACGTGTTCGGCCAGCTAGTCAGTCGTAAAACAGTATCAGTCAAGCTAGTTCACGCGACACATTTCAGTTATGTATTAAGTAGCATGTAAGAAATACAGTGATATAAACAATCAGCGAATACTTATTAAATTCCTGTTTACATTTTTAAATTGAAGTGTATTTGAAAAATTAATAACAGTTTTATTCGTAAGTAACTCGGAAGAATCGTGATACACGTACACGTAGACATTCACGAATAACATAATCGCGGTACGTGTTTATTTAATTGCATAGTGGTTAGTGCCTGAAAGGATTATTTGTGGATACTTGTGGACACTGTGGACAATCGTGGGGCGTGTATAATCGCATGTGGGTGATTTTTGTTCACAACATTGTGTATTGGAACTGGCATTCACCCTTTCTCTGTGAAAATCTCGTCGGACGAGTTTTGATATGCCCTTCTGGATTTTCATAAGACAGGTTGAATCTTATTCAACGTAAGGTGTTCGCATTCCCATAAGTGGACAAAAATCTAAGGCTGTCGATAATGTCGGTAAGCAGAATTTTTCATGCTGCGTGAGAACCACTAGCACTCGCCTGCCGCAACCGTCCGCGCGAACCAGCTGTTTAGCGGATTGTCATTCTACAGGCGGAACTTTAAATGTTAATAACTTTGCAACGAAGCCTCCATCAACAAATTAGTATTCTTGATTTTCGTCTTATTTTGGCCTCTACTATCGCTCATTAAAATTTTTGCTAGAGGTGGCCGAACACCCTGTATATATCTACGTCCTTTCTTCGTCCGAGGATTTCAACGGCCCATCGATGCGCGAGCAGTATAAACAAAACACTATCCCCACGTGCTCGAGCCACTGCTGTTTCTCTTGAGTCAGTTGAATTCGGTCGACGAGGACGAACATCAGGAGAAATTTAAAGGTACGTGCCGTAGGTCATTCTGAGACATTTAAATTGAAAAAAA